TACATGAACAACATCTCCAGAACTTCTCTGAGAGTTACTTCATGAGCATTTGACCGTTTCATTTGAGTAAAACTATCCTCATATCATAAACACACAGAAATGTAAAGGTATTCACGGCAACCCTTCAAAATAAAAGTTTGGTTTAACTTGAAGGCATTTGCAGAAATATATTACTATTGTTCAGTAGAATGTATGTAACAGGCTGCTACTACTACTACTACTACTAAAATTATTAAAACCTTATTTTTAAGGAATAATCATACAATATTTCTTCAATGTTTTAATTGTAATATTAAATTACCTTTATTTTGCAAAAAATAAAATTTGTTTAATTTTCATTACTTAAAAGATAGATTAAATAAATGTTTTATGCCTTAAAAAAATGTAAATACACAACACAGAATTAATGCTTTGAAATAATTAGACATGCTAAAACAGAATTTGGTAACAATAAAACATAAGGTTGGAAAAAATAAAACATTTCATAGGGCCCTAAACATGTAATATTTGTTAAACTTTTAATAAATTAATGTTAAATTGTTTAAGTTTCATGATTTTAATTTAGACATGCTTTTTGATTAATACAATTTTATTTAACCATTAAAAAGGAGTCCAGAAAAAAAACAAAAAACGGAACCATTATATTATTGTTTTGATGTGTTACTGTTACTGTACTGCTGTGCCCTCCTTTACAGGTTGGGAATCGTGAAGCCTGGGCTAACAGAGGATCAATTATGGAGGGCCAAATACATTTACGACTCTGCTTTCCACCCAGACACAGGAGAGAAAATGCTGCTAATTGGACGCATGTCTGCACAAGTGCCCATGAACATGACCATTACGGGTTGCATGCTTACCTTTTACAGGTAAGCACACTGCCGAACTGGAACGCTTATTGTTCTGGTCACCATATGGACAGGACGTGTATATAGACCTGAAAATGTTATACATTAAAGCCAGAAAAGGAAACTGAGTAAATCTTTCCATGGCCTGGGATAAATATCCCCGCTCAGTTCTGTGAATATTTCCTAAATGAGTCATCATGGAAAAGACAGCACTCCTACTGAATAGCTTAGTTTGGTGGTTTGATTCGGGGTTAGGAGGTTGACTGTTTTATGGTAGTATTTTGTTCTCTCTTAAAACATTGACAGAGTAAAAGAACATTGACTAAGATTGGAAAAAAAATTATATTTCTCTTTTACTGGTTTTGTGGACACTTTTTTTACTTGGATCAGTGAGTCATCTGCAAATGAGTCATTTTGAGCAAGACCAACATGTAACTCAAATTACAGCCTTGTGTGGGAGATTCTTATGACTACAGCATTGTTTATGAAAGGGTTTTTAATTAGAAATAGTCTGAAATAGTTAGAAAAATGCATTTTTTATTGAATTTAAGTCTCTCATTGTTATCAGGACAGCCCCAGCAGTGGTGTTTTGGCAGTGGGTAAACCAGTCCTTCAACGCCATTGTCAACTACACTAACCGCAGTGGAGATGCGCCAATCACCGTGAAGTATGAAGGCTAAGATCACTACTAGAAACAATCTAGATGCAGGTTTCTATATGGAGGCCTCATGGCAGCCCCTTTCTTGATGGTGTGATGTGTTTTGCCCACACTATGTTGGTATATTGCACAATTTAGTTTCCTGAAACTGTTGCATGAGCCAAATTGTCATGATGGCACAAATGGTGGAATCTGTTCCATGGAGCAGTGTTTCATGATCACTACACATTCTGAATACAGGCAGATTCTGACAGCATGCTCATTTATTCATGTTTCCATTCTGATCATGTGTTTATTGACATATGTATATACTGTATATAGGTTATGCAGTGAGGCTTGTTTTAAAATTGTTTATGACGCATGCTTTAGGGATGAGCGCACTACTTCAACATCGTAGCTTTTCTAAACCCAAGTCTTGATAAAAGAGAGTTGTGCATTCTGTAATATCAGTAATTATGATGAGCTCCATGAGAAATATTAATGGTACTGATCTGCTCAGTAATACTTAAGACATATGTATTTTATTTTAACTTTTGCAGTCAGCTTGGAGCAGCCTACGTTAGTGCTACCACTGGAGCTGTAGTAACAGCCCTTGGACTGAAGGCTCTGACCAAGGTCTGTCCTTTCACTAAACTACTCGATATTTATAGTTAATTACAGAGTGACTTTAAGCAAACAAAAAATTGTACCATTAAGATATCAGTTTAATACTCATTATTGTTTTAATTTGCTTTAATATACAGTGGGTACGGAAAGTATTCAGACCCCCTTAAATGTGCTGTGTGTACATTAATGAGGAAAAAAAATTAACTTAAATGATTTTAGCAAATGGCTGCAATATAACAAAGAGTGAAAAATTTAAGGGGGTCTGAATACTTTCCGTACCCACTGTATACACTACTGTTCAAAATCTATTTTTTTAAATTATTTTATTCAGACTCTTATGCTTACCAAGCATTTATTTAATCAAAATTGTGACATTTTATTACAATTTAAATAACTTTTTTTTATTTAATTGTTTTAATAAATGTGTTCTCAGCAGCCATTACTCCAGTCAGCAAGCAGCAAAAGATGTTTAAAAAAAAGAAAAAAAATTTTAGACAGTGGTTAAATATTTTTATCTTTATTACCCTGCGCAAAAATTGGTTTACCTCTTTCTTGCCTTAATTGTTGACTGCTGTTTTTACGTCTACACAATATATAGCAATAGTGACTTGAAATATCTGATCTCAGAGCTTGCCAGCTATTATGGGGCGTTTTGTTCCATTTGCTGCAGTGGCAGCAGCAAACTGTATCAACATACCCTTCATGAGACAAAGGTAAGTGAGAAAACTGGTCTTCAACATTTTAATTACTAAAATGAGCGTATGTTGGTGTTGAATCATCCATTGAATGAATTTTCTCTTTTCTCAATTCTTCTACAGAGAGCTGAAGTATGGTATTCCTGTTACTGATGCTGAGGGAAAACGTCTCGGAGAATCAAGTAAAGCTGCTCAGCAAGCCATCGTACAGGTGGTGGTGTCCCGTATCGGCATGGCAGTGCCAGCCATGGGTAAGCTTTTGTAGATGTTTTTCATCTAAATATTGGAGTTCCTCTATATTTTGGTGTAAGTATTCAACCACTAAACTGATTTTATCTACCTCTTATTCACAGCCAAATAAAGTAGTTAAAAATGAAATTAAGAGAGTGTTCTGAATTTTTCTCAAACAGCTATTCCTCCAGTTATCATGAATGCCTTAGAAAAGAAGGCCTTCATGAAGGTAAGGAATCCAAAACACAGACTCATTTCAAGCATCTCTCTGAATCTTTGTGAGAGGATGTGTTTTTAAACTGCTTTGTAAAATTTCTGTTTGTTTCTCAGCGGTTCCCGGTTCTCAATGCCCCTGTACAAGTTGGACTTGTTGGACTCTGGTGAGTTTTTAAGGCAGTGTTTATTTGCTATACAATGCAATCATTGTTTAAAACAATGAATGAATGACTTATCCATCTTCACAGTCTGGTGTTTGCCACTCCACTGTGCTGTGCTCTGTTCCCACAGAAGAGGTGAGTGCTTCTAATTTAGAAATGCTTTTGCCGTGGTTTGATTGACATGCTGATTTAGGTTGTTGTTGTTTTGTTTTTGTCTTTGTGAAGTTCTATGAAGGTGAGCAGCCTGGAGCTGGAGCTTCAAGAGAGGATACGGCAAAACAATCCTCACATCACCACTGTTTATTTTAACAAGGGTCTGTAATCAGGTCTAGGTTGCAGCCCATGTTGATGTCCTCCACTGCACTGGACATTAGTGGGCACAACTTGAAGAGTAGAACATTTATTTTTGTTTTGCTGTTCTGAGTTATATATTTTTGTCAGTTTTACCCAAGTTATTGTACTATCCAAAATGACTATATGTACAGTGAAGGTCAGAACTTTTCTGCTGGATTTAGTTAAAGATGCTTGAATGTTAACTGCTGCATTGCTTTACGCCTCCATCTAGTGTTGACTGCACACACATAGACTTATTTACCAGTATATTAATTTCTGTCATTTATTCTAGATTATCATATGCATATAGTATGATTTTTTTCCCCCCTAGTTATCTTTGGATTTCCAGGTTTGTGGCTCAAACGTCTGACCAACTCCACTCTCCCATGTGAGTTGTTACTAAGGACAGTTACAGAAATTGGGTTTTCAACTTTATTCTGCCAGAAGGAGTATTTCCACCTTTCATGCTCCACTATGTGCCCATTAAGTGCACTTATGCAGTGAATGCAGTGTGCATTATGTACTACCAAGAAAACCTGAGATGTGCAAACACTCCTTCATGAGCACATCAAAATGCTAATTATTGGGTGACTACCACTGATATCACTTCCTGCAGGTCATACTTCATTATTTCTGTTAAAGCCTTATAGATGTGTGGTTTGAAGTCATCGCAAATGTCTCTGAGACATTTGGTTGTGTGGATTGTAGTTTGTGTACTGAATGGTCAAAATAATATTTATTGAAATATTTAATACTTATTATTAGCATTTGTGATCGTATGAATAATTTCCCCAAATAGGACAGAATGTGTCTGGGGCCTGGGCTAAAAGAAAGAAGCACTACATATCTCAGGCTGCAAGAGCAAATTATAAGAACAGTTTGCTCATGTTTGATAGAGGAAAAATGCTTGTTTGGAGTATGAAGAAAAAGTTGCTTCATATGCCCTGCTTTGATCATGTATTACATCTCAGACATTTACAATTATGGTAACAACAATCAGATTTATTTATTGTTGTCATGGGGGAATCTATTATGTGTTTTTTATTAATATAATGTATATATGTTGATGATGTCAGTCATGGTGTCTGTAGTATATGATATAACCATTAGTAAGTTCACTAGCCTCTGGTCCTGTAACCTGAGCACATATGATCAAACTTGTTTTCCCTGACGTATTGTGGTAATGTTATGGTGTGTAGTTTTTGTTGTTTGGTTCCTGTTGTTTTTGTGGATAAAGTTAACAAACCTTTTTTTGTGGATGAAGTTAACAAAACTTTTTTTTGCCATCACTCTAACAACACTCGTTATTCCCATCATGTCCTCTAAAGAGGCAGTATAGATCTGTTGTTTTTGATTTGAACACTCCATTGTAGGCTAATAATTTAGCCTAATATCGAAGCACATTATATGTTAAGTATGCTGTTGAAAAAGGTAGCCCAGTTGAAAGCCGTCAGGGATTGATGCTTGCTTTAATTAATGCACAAATTCCCAGTTACTATGATGATAGTACAAAAACATGTCTAGATTTGATATAGAAGTGTTGGATATGTTATGCAAACATGACTATTTGATTGTGATTTATACAGAACTGTCTGATTTCTTCCCGGAATGTCCTGTTAACACAAAGTATCACAGACCAGTGTCAAGACTCGTTCTTCCTTTCAAAATGCACAGTGTACCAGCAGATAAAGTTCAGCTGTAATATCAGCAATACAACAAATTATTTAGCAAAGGTGGTGTTTTCAGATCTTACGGACATTTTATGATTGTAAATTGCACTAGACCACTGACAAATGTTTTTTTTGGATGTAAACCCACAATGTTATAATTGTTAAAAATATTACGTTAATGAACCTATAGTGGTCATGTATCATTTTCTATATAATTATAAAATTATGGTTGTCCATCAATTAGTCATATGTGGATCATAATAGATTCAATCAAAAATATAGTCTCACCAGATACATTTGGCATTTTACAAAAATCAGACCACGCCAAAGAAAATTAAGATTGCATATATGCTTGATGCTTAGAGCACATATTGATAAGTCGCCTATAGTGTGGAAAGTGCAGACAAATGCAAGTGCAATAATTGGTGTGATGTAACTTGCATATAAATGTTGCACCAGGAAGACTCACTTCAGCACAATTATTATGGTTATTATTGGTGCTTATTGTTTTATATTGTTTTGTTACATCCTTGTGTATTTTATCTGGTACAGTGTAATAAAGATATTAAACTATGTCTGAGACTATATTTCGTTTGTTAGCATTTGCTATAGATGAACATCATACTTAGAAGAACCAAGAAAAAAAATGGCATATAACAGTTGATTTAAAAGAATCGTTCAAACGATAAGTAACATTTCCTCAACATGTACTTACCCTCAGGTCATCCAAGATGTAGATGAGTTTTATTTATTTTTTGGAACAGATTTGGAGAAATTTAGCATTACATATTGCTCGCCAATAGATCCTCTGCAGTGAATGGGTGCCATCAGAATGAAAGTCCAAACAGCTGATAAAAACACAAGTAATCCACACGACTCCAGTCCATCGGTTTATGTCTTGTGAAGTGAGAAGCTGCATGTTTGTAACAAATTCATATACCTATTTAATTTCAAAACATTTTTTTCCAGCTGAAATACAATCCTTTTCTGAATCAGGAGAGAAATATGCACAGATCAAGCAACATTTAGAAGCAAAAAGAGTTTTAAACGTGTCAGTGGGTTTTGACGTGAGAGGACAACAAGGGATGGACTTTTTCACCGGATGAAAAGTTATGAATTATTTACTCATTTTGGCCAGAACCAGTGCTTTAAAGTTAAAACGCCTTGATGAACTCCTTACAAACACAGCTTTTCATTTCACAAGATGTTAATTGATGGACTGAAGTCATGTGGATTACCATGATGCTTTTGTCAGCTGCTTCAATTCTCATTCACTGCAGAGGATCCATTGGTCAATAATTTATTGAAGGGAAGTAAGTTTTCATTTTTGGGTGAACTATTCCTTTAATCAGACATTTTCTAAACTTGGATGGCTTGGCTTCCCCAGATGGAACACAGATTTCTAATTAAACAAGCAAAATGCTATTATTCGGGCCGTTTCAAAGTCCTCTGCTTTTAAAATGCAAGCGTAAAAGTAGGTGAACAGAGAAAAGCTCTTTGTTGCATGTGCAAATATACTAATCAGAGATTAGAGCTGAATGGCTCAGTAGCAAGTTGTGTTGTGGAGAAATACAATGTAAATGACTGCAATACAAGCAACTTCTCATGTGGATTAACAATACTGAAAAGAATGTCAAATGAAGACAAACTGAATTTTTGGAGATGACATGTTTATTATTCATTGTGTCCACCCCAAGCTGAACCTTTGGCTGCTCACTGACCAGAAACCAGCAGGTTTGTAAGCATGTGTTTGCATCAGATCTGCTCTTTCAACATGGAGTTTGGAGACAGACTTTCATTAATACACATACAACAAAAAAACACCATTGTGGCAGCAGGCAACCGAAGGAATGCAGTAAGGTGAAAAACAACAATACGATTCATGACAAACAAAACAGTATTACTTAATTACACTACATTAGTCTCATTTGTACATACCAGAATTAAAATGAGGCCACAAGCAACTCTGTGGCATTGCCACTTAGCTCTTAAATGTACCAGTCAGTGCTAACAATTCAACATAACCTGAGCTTCTCTCTCTATTCACAGCATTAGTAGGAGATATGAAGTGTGATGAGGTGGATTGTGACTCTAGATCAAGGGAGAACTTTCCTTAATCTCTATTTTAATCAAGCTTGGCAGCTTTGCTGCACCTGACAAACTTAGACAACATCTACTTTTCTACCACAATTTTCTTAGCGGCTTCCAAAACCGACCCTATGCTGACTTTATCTCCAAACTCCTTTTCTCTGTGCTCTAGAAGAACCCCCTGAAAACAACAAAGAACAGGATGTGTGAGGACAAGCACGTGGCTGAAGCTCTGAAATGCACTACCAAACATGACTGTAAATCTTATTTGCATTCATATAGAACATTATATTCTTGACCATTCTGAGTGAATCCAGTGGAGGGAGCAGATGAAAAGGCACTGATGCATATGTGAGAGAGGCGTTTCCTGCACCACCCCTCTGTGGGGTGTCTTGAAGGTGCCAGTGTATTGTCTGTTTCTCAGGAGATCAAAGTATCTGAGTTTCCTGAGTTTCTTTTATCCTTACAACTGCAAAAGCACTCTCTTGGGTGCCATGAAATATCTAAATGATTACCTGTTCACCAGATCCGATGACAAACACTCCTCCCAGAATGAAACCTTCTCCATTCACGTTGCCCTGGTAACCTGACCTCCAGGCCCTTATAAAGTTTTGCCATACTCCCAAGAGAATGAAACCAAGCCCACCCATCTTCCTCTGTTGTGGCCCATAAAAAGCTTGCTGTGCACAAACAGACACCCAGGCAGAAGAATGAATGAATAATCAACTACTGGTAGCTTTTTGCTCTATTTGGTAATACACATCATGCAGACACGACTGAGCTTCCATTTACCATATTTGATGTGCTCTATGCATGTGCGTCAGAAGACTTGGATTAAACCACTCAATTCATATGGGTTACTTTTATTATTTTAAATGTCAAAGTTTTGGTTTTCGTGGGCTTATACAGTGGAGGCACAGAAAACTCCTAGGTTACATAAAAAACATCTTCATTTGTGTTTCGAAGATGAACAAAAGTCTTATGGGTTTGGAATGACACGAGGATGAGTAAATGATGACAGAATTGTCATTTTTGGGCAAACTATCCCTTTAATGTTTACTAACCTTTTCATCCAGGAAAATCTCCCCTACTAAGCGAGGCCTGAAGTCCTGAATCTCTGTACCTACATTCTCCTTCACAACAGCATACAGAGGGACCCCAAGCTCATCCAGCTGGGGCTTCAGAGAGGACAGCTCAGAGGCCTCCTGTAGATAAACAATCATGTTATCAGCAGCCTCACATGTCTCACATGTCATGTATTCATTATTTAGACTACTGTATTTATGCTTTTTGCAACTAATAGTAGTGTAGTATTCCTGGCTTCTTTTTAAGGAATACTTCACCCAAAAATTTAAGTTTGCTGAAAACGTACTCATCCTCGGGCTGTCCAAGAGGTACATGAGTTTGTTTCTTCATTGGAACAGATCTGGAGAAATTTAGCATTTAGTTCTTGCTCACCAGTGGATCCTCTGCAATGAATGGGTGCCGTCAGAATGAGAGTCCAAACAGCTGATAAAAACATCATCAAAATAATCCACAAGTAATCCACATCCATCAATTAATATCTTGTAAAGTGAAACGCTGCTTTTTAACTTTAAACCATCGCTCCTGGCCAAAATGCAATTACAATATTGCAATAATCCACAAATGTCTCCAGTGCATCAATTAGCATCTTGTGAAGTGAAAAGCTACGTGTTTGTAATTTAAAAAACAATCCATCAATAACACGTTTTTAACGTCACACTGGCTAACATACGAGTCTCATCTGAATCGGGAGAGAAATATGCACAGATCAACCACCACTTACAAGCAGAAACGGTCCAAAACGGTTTGCAACAAATATGTTGGTTGATTTTGATGTGAGAGGACAATCAGGGATGGACTGTTTTTACTGGAAGAAGCATATTCCTCAGAAGCAATGATAAAAGTTAAAACGCCTTGTTTTTTTTTTCTTACAAACATGCAGCTTTTCACCTCACAAGACATTAACTGATGGACAGGAGTCTTGTGGATTATTATGATGTTTTTATCAGCTGTTTGGACTCTAATTCTGACGGCACCCATTCACTGCAGAGGATCCATTGGTGAGCAAGTGATGTAATGCTGAATTCCTCCAAATCTGTTCCGAAGCTAACTCATCTACATCTTGGATGGACTGAAAATGAGCACATTTTAAGCAAATTTTTATTTCTGGGTAAACTATTCCTTTATCACAGAATTTCCCCCCAAATTAGTGCTCAGATTCTGTCTGGGCAGTGAATTAGAGCATCTGACTGAACTTTATTATGAGCATGATCACTACCTCTCTGCACAAAAATCATCCAGGTCCCCGGACAGCCATAAACACTGCACCAGATTTCTCCCAGAGAGTTTTCGCTTTTAAAGTCCTCTTATCTGAACGGATGCAGATGAAAAAATATTCAATAAATACTGTGATTCCTTCACTGTTTTTTTGATTATGACAGCAATTGGTAAAAATTTTATTTAAAAAATCCCTAGGATTACTTCCTCTGTATTTCAGTTCATTTCTTACCACTGTTGATGGTTTTCAGGTCAGCATTCCCTAGATACTCTAGAATGGCAGGTGCCGGTTTAGTCAGCAAGAAGTCAGTGTTTGCAAGTATTAAGCCAGCAATGGCGGCCCCCACAGCACCAAGGTCAAGTGACCAAATGCCCATGGCAAGCGTCCCACCCTCCAGAGCAGACGATGACACTGCAGTGAAAATATGTATGGTAAGTTACACGAAACATTATATGTTGTAATATTCTTCTCACAATCAACCCAAAAAACCGTTGAAAGAATACCATTGCACGCAAAGTGTCTGTGTTTTTTTTTTTTTTTTCCATATTTGTACTAAAGGCAAGCATGTAATTGCTATAACACCTCTATACCAAGACATGCTGGGGCAGGAGCAGTACCTTTTGTCATTCTAAAGGGAGACTGGCTGTTCTGGCTTTCCCTCAAGAAGTGGCAGTTTGTCGAAAAAGCACGTACGCATATAGAGTTGACAGAAGTGGGGAACGCTACTGTCTTGAATTCCGGTCGGCATGTAGTGACGGTCAGCGGGGGATACTTTGGAGGGAGGTTATGAGTTATGACTGTCTTATCAAAGGCTAGAAGCTGGGGGGACTGGGACACAGAGACTCTGAACTTAACATCACTATTCACACAAAGACAAAATCTTCCTCTTGGTGGTGACAAAAGGGTCAAACGCATGGGTCGTACTCGCATGAGGGCCATTGCTAACATCCAAGGTGAGTTTAGCCAACCTTTCCCAATCGGGAAAAAGTGAAGTTCAGTGGAAAGCTCTGGAGAGGAAAGGAAAACAGTGCTTTACTTCTCAATGTAGGCTTTTTTTTCTCCAAATTTAAAATAAGTCCTAAAACAACAATGAAACTAAAAAATAAGAACTCTCTGGGTGTACACACTTGTGGAAAAAGTAGTAAGCTTTTATTATTACAGAAATAAAATACTTAAAAAGAACGG